CATCCCTCTGTGATATCCCTGACCAAGAGGTCCAAGCCTGCTACCTCCTCGTCTTCGGCAACCTTACCGCGAGTCTAACAATGTCCAAGCTGACTAGTGGACAAGGCCCTTCTGCCGTCGGGAAGGGGATCAACGACCTGGGTCACCCGGATCCCGAAAGCTCAAAGCTTGGATCCGACCACAACCATCCAATACTCACTGCTTTCCTCAAAAGACTCATGAGATGAAGATGGACCCCCTTACCGCGCCTACCCGATGCCAAACCTCTCATCCTCCGAGCTATGCTCGTATGCCCTGGACTACGCGACGCCACTTGGGGGACCCATCACCGCCACGGTCGATCGACTTCTGCATCTGCCCTCTCTGGCTCCTAGCACCGTGCGGAGTACCTGGACAACGGGAACCTGAATCCCGAGCCAAGCCTTCTCGCCTCTGTGATGTCTCCTTTCACTGTCCGCGGCGGGCCCCAGTCCGCGGCGACAACATCTATTTGAATGACGTGAAAAACCATGCATGCCTCACCGATGCACGTTTACGTTCACTGACACAAAAGAATGCTGTCCGCGCGAGTCCGTGGGCCACCGCCCGACCTCTGATCCGTGGGCTTTGCCGGTGAAGTCCCTCGCGCGTGTGGTCTACCACCTCCGTACCAACGGCGCCGACGCCGATACTCCCCTCTTCAACCACTTCAATGCGGCCCGCAACCGGTGGTATCCTGTGAAGCCCCGCTGCGGCCCTCATCTCCCACGACACTGGCATCAACCCTGACAAGGTCTCTGCCCGCTCCCTCCGTCCTGGTGGTGCCACAGCCCTTCTCTGCGCCCATGTGGACTCGGATGCCATCCGCCTTCTCGGCCGATGGAAGTCTGACGCCATGCTCCGCTACCTGCGCATCCAAGCCGCTGCCACCACCCACCACTACTCCCAACAGATGTTGGACCATGGGGCGTACAACTTCCCGGGAGGCACCTACGATCGCCACCTCCTCCCGGCGCAAGCGCCCCAACACTTCAACGAGATTCTTCTCCACGAAGAACTCTACGAGGACTAACCTACCCCTAGTCCTCGGCCCCCTGTCCTTGCCTCCACCTGGACAGGGGGTAACTTCTCCCACCCCGCTACGCTCCCTCCCTGTTCTGCCTCTGGCTTTTGGGTTGTACGACTCAAGGCTGTCCCGTGGAACATCACATTCCCGGGACTCCCTTTTGCCGTGTGGGATCCATCCAGGACTCCCCAGTCCCAAATGGTACCCCGGGGACTGGAGACGGTCGGCTCAAAAAATGGCCGAGTCTCTCCACTCACCTAATCCTCTACTAGTCGTGTCTAGCTGCTCTGGGCGAGCGCAGCTTGTCTGCGCTCGGCTGCGTACGTGAACTGCGATTACTTCTGCACTCCGTTCAAGGCAGTGAGGCAAGGATCTAAGGACGACTTCAACTACTACCACTCTCAGCTCCGCATCAAGATCGAATGTGCTTTCGGGCAACTTGTTAATCGATGGGGGATCCTTCGAAAGGCTCTTCCAGCCACAATGGGAATCTTGAAGGCCAGTGCTCTCCTGATGTGCTTGTGCCGGCTTCACAATTTCTGCATCAATGAGCGATTGAGAGACCACAAAACTGATTCTGGCGGATCCACATCATCCAAATCCAGTCCATCTGATATCGCTCCTCCGCTGGCTGAAGATAACGTGGAAATCACTGCTGGCTGGTGGCGGGATACCCTTGGAACGACGCCACAACAATGAATGTTCCAGCTGTTGCATGGTGGTGAGCACTTTGACGATGTCCCTCGGGCCGTTCGGCAGCAATTTGCTCGCAGTGGAAGGAACAAAGGAGGGGAGGAGTTGCCTCGCAACACAATGCTTGCTTTGGTTGAGCGCTTGGGCTTCGAAAGGCTCACGCCCCACAGTTGGAAGACGATGTAGTAATCATCATCTTAGTAGTAGCCATCATCTTATTAGTAGTAGCCATCATCTTGTTGCTTCGCTCATTGTGGCTGGTAACTATCTAGCTTTTTGGATCGCAATCGATCGATCCTCTCTGCCGCCAGCTTTTCAGTTGGTACTGTCTTAACACGCTGGCATTCGCACCACTCCCACTCGCTCGCACGGGGCTGACTGAATGACTGACTGAAATAGACACAAATATATAGAACTCACCACAATGACGATTTCAAACTCACTTTGCTACTACTTGATTAATCATTACTGAGTACAGGCTACCCTTCTTTGTTCTTGTTGTTCTTGTTGTTGTTCTTATCTCAATTGTTCTCGTTGTTGTTCTTGTTGTTCTTGTTGTTCTCGTGTCTCAATTGTTCTTGTTGTTGCTCTTGTTGTTGTTCTTGCCTCAATTGTTCTTCTTCTTGTTGTCTTCCTTGTTGCCTTCCATCGCCGTGATCTCTTCCTGCATGGCTTCCACGCGGTTTTGACGAAACTCAACACGCTCAGTGTAGAATTTGATCTTGGCTTGGTCTCCATCCTCCTTGGCTTCCATTAGCTTGAGCTCCAGACGTTCCAGTTTATCTTCCTCGAACTGGAGAGGTTGGTAGAGCATGGCGCGAGAAATCACTACCATTCCAGCACCAATCTGATCACGGAACTCCACTTTGCGCTTCTTCTCTTGGTGATCAGCTTCCAACTTCTGCAAACGCTTCTGCTGAGTCTGAGTGGTTCCCTTGGGGACGTTCTTGGTGTCAAGACCAACCTTGGAGTCCAAGACTCCAAGAACATGCTTCAGTACACCCATCGAATCGCCGAGATACCACAAATACAAATGATGATTGTGCCTGCCCATGGATTGGTGGATGAAGGAGGCACGGTCGTCACCATCAACGAAATCAGATTCACTGGTGCGGCCCATTCAACATCATTCTGGGATCGGACCTCTCCACGTGTGCCGAAACCGTTGCCGCTCCTTTCCCAATCAAAGATAATCTTGGGCGGCAACCAAGTGCGTCAGCAGCCAATCTTCAACTACAATCAGGGAATCAATGATTGCTTCAACTTACATCAATAACACGAGCACGGGCACCATTTCCTCTTGTCTTGGCTTCAAGAGCAGTGATCTCTGTGCCAGGCATTTCGGCGAACAAGAGTTGCTTTGACACAGCGAAATCGGGATGCAACTCTGGGAGTGCAAGGGTCTCGACGATGAAACTGGGGTTATTGTACTGTCCAGCCACAACCTCCCAGTATTCAGGGGGGGACAGTGGAGAGATTGCGGGCATCCAATTCATCTACGGTCTTGCAGTTATCCTTCTTGACCAAGTAGGGAAGTGCTTTGTCACTGGTCATGCAATGGTAAAGGCGCTGATAAGGCTCGGGGAGGACCTTCCAGTGGGCATTGGTCAGCATCTCCTTATCGGCTGCAGCCTTTTCTTCTGCCTGTGACTGCATCTAAGAAGCGCATAATGGGGTAGCGCGAAAACAGCGAGGTCGGTTACAAAATTGCCAGGTCAGTCGATGGTAAGGTTACCAATCGGTAACTGACCTCGCGCTTATGTATGGTGGGTACAAAAAAAGAAAGAGAGATCAGCAAAAGACACTGGACCAAATCATTCAAGAACCATCGACGCCAAAGAGAAAGGATTGCACAGCAATTCCCAGCAATCATGACATCAAGCAATAAGGTCAGATTCGATCCCAAGTTACGATAACTGGAATCCATGTTGCTTGCCCCTCTGAGATCTGCACGCCATGTTGTTGAGTATCTTTTGTATACGAAGAGATGAGCATTCTTTGCCCAGATTGGCCCAACCTCAGACAGGAGCCAAGGAGATGTGATGCATTGGCATCAAATATGGGCAACTCTTCTCCATAACTCTTAACGGAGCATCCAAGGATGCAAGTTCACCCATGTAATCAGGCAGAAGAAGAAGCTGATGGCTAACGAATCTTTGAGCATGTCAAGAAGCTTGTCAAGGTACATGAAGTGGAAAAGTTCCCAACCATGATTGAGGTTCCTGAAGGTGATCCAGCGGGATGCCATCTTGTTGCCACCTGGAGAGGCAGCCATTGAGGGTGCGAAGGCACAGAATGAGCGACTCATTTTTGTTGCTAAATGGATGTTGGGAATTGCCTCTTTGCTCAGGTTGGTGGTGCATCCAAGTTTTGGAGGAGGCAGTTCGCAAGAACTAAACATTCATCGGAGCAGGGTTGAGTTGGGTGAGGCTTTCCCTCCCAATTCGGAAGCATTTGCTGCCTCGCCTCGAGAATGGTTACACAGCCGAACCAGGTGCTGTGGACAATGAAGCGCAACCCTACCAATGAAAGTGGCACGAGTACTTCAAGGTTACCAATGGCTTCACCTTGGACGTGAAGTTCCTCGCTCCAGCAAAGCAGTATGATCCGGAGGGAGTTTATGAAGGGAGGACTCCAGTTCCAAGGCTGGATCTTCTGCTTTTGGAGGGTGGGGTGATAACGGCCTTCGCCACTTCAAGGATTTGCAGAAGCTTGTCAAGAATCTAGAGCCCAGGACCATGCTAAATTGGTGTGAGCGGGCCAGTCCTTGCTCGTGTGCGCAAGGACATCTACAAATTCCTGATAGTGTCGAATGCTGAACATGAGGGAACTCGAAGAAGCTGCAAGCGCCAAGAGGTCAGTGTGAATCTTGATGAGATTGATCGATTAGGTTGCCCCTTGGCAACCTAGGACCCCATCATTTGATGGGGTCCTACCCAGGCTTTTGTGGCTTCCTCCACTTTCTTCAATTTCATTTCTCCCTTTTAGCAGGGCTTCCAAGACGACTTTGTTACCTATGGCGTCCTTGTTTGGTTGCCCCAGCCGTCCTGTTTTGGAATCATTTGGACCCTTTCTCGGACCTATGGATGCCCGTACCGTTAAAGTTGGTTACATATGAGTGACCTGTTTCTCCCCTTTTACTACGAACATTTATGTCATTGTTCGCTTACCTCCACTACTCTGTTATTAGTAGTACCATAACGATTTAGCCCCAATCATATCCACATTGTGTACTGCTTTTCTCCATTTTGAACCCCTACTTATAGATTTAGTAACCTAGGACTCTTTCATTTGGGAAGGAATGGCTGAGCTGTTTTGGATTCCGGGCTTGGGGAATAGCCTACAACTGCCCTTCTGTAATTAGCGTCACAAAAGTGCATCAACTTGTAAGCCATGTATAGAAAGGGAACGGAATTCGGTAGAGAATAGTGACACTTAGTTTAACATTCTGTAACCGTTACGCCAATGACTTTTGCTGCAATTGCATCTGTATATGCCTGAGTCGATCGTCTTCAATTAGTAGGAAAAGAGTTCTTGAATATTGCACAGCTGACCTCACAAAATGGAAAGGATCATTCCTCGGTGATCTTGTACCCACCATACATAAGCGCGAGGTCAGTTACCGATTGGTAACCTTACCATCGACTGACCTGGCAATTTTGTAACCGACCTCGCTGTTTTCGTGCTACCCCATTATGCGCTTCTTAAATGTAATAGACTCGTGAATTGAAGTTTGGTCACGGCTGTCGAACCCTGATGAATTGTATCGCTTCCTCTTCAATTCCCAATGTTTGAAGGGGGGCGGTTCGTTTTGGGCAAAATGTTCCGGCTCGGTCTGCGGCAGGGGAGGTATCCAACGCGCATAGGCTGTTTTTTTTTTTTTTTTTTTTTTTTTTTTTTTTTTTTTGGTGACGTCTGTTGAACTTTGATGATTGTATTGACTTGCTCTTCATGTTCTCAACGTTTGAGGGGGCGGCTTCGTTTGGCCAAAATCTGACCATTTGCCTGGGACATAGCCATGGAAAATGGTGGAGAAAGGCCGTTTGAAAGGTCCCCGAAAGTGAATAACCACATTGTCGTGCATGCTTAGTAGGCCCAGGAAGAAACGCTCTTCGACTTGGGCTAAGCACCCGTTTGGACCTCGAAACGGCGTTTTCTGCTGTTTCGACCCCCGGAATGCACGAGGTTAATCGGGACCGATAAGTCCACACCAGCTGGCTGCATCAAACCCTATGCAGCATCCCGGGTGAGATGGAAGGTGCTTTCAGACTGTCACCACTGGCTACACCCTCTGGTGCCACTGGAACGTTTTGTTCTGGCTTCGGTCGGCAGAGGAGGTATCCAACGCACATAGGCTTGGTTTTTCTATATATAGACTCGTGAATTGAGATTTGCACGGCTGTCGAACCCTAATGAATGTATCGACTTCCTCTTCATGTTTCAAACGTTTGAGGGGGCGGTTCGTTTTGGCAAAAATCTGACGCATTTGCCTTGCTATAGCCCTGGAAAATGGTGGAGAAAGCCCTTTTTTTGAAAGTCCCCAAAAATGACACCACATTGTAGGGCACGATTAGTAGGCCAAAGAAAACCTCTTCGACCTGGTCAAGCACCCGTTGGACTCTCGAACTCGGCGTTTTTCTTGTTGGTTCGACCCCCGGAATGACACGAGGTTGAATCGGACCGATAAGTCCACAACAACTGGCTGCATCAACCTCTATGCAGCACCGGGAGATGAAGGTGTTTATCGAGACGTCACCACTGCTAACACCCTCTGGTGCCAACTGGAACGTGTGTGTCGGCCGGTTCGCGGCAGGGGATGGTATCCAACGCGCATAGGCGTGGTTTTCCTATATATAGAACTCGTGAATTGGATTTTGGTCACGGCCTGCGAACCCTGAAAATGATGTAACGACTCCTCTTCCATGTTCCCAACGTGAGGGGGCGGTTTTTTTTGGGCAAAATCTAACCAATTTGCCCTTGCTATAGCCCATTAAAATGGTGAGAAAGGCCGTTTTTGAAAAATCCCGAAATGA